AGAAAACGTAACCTGATGAAAGGCAAATGGAAAGCGTATGTATTGTAACCGTGCTCGCGAGCAACGGCACAACTTCGTCGCGTTTCTCGGTACTCAAAGTACTTTGGTACTCGGTACTCGTAGTACTTTGAGTACCGAGAAACGCGACGAAGTTGTGCCGTTGCTCGCGAGCACGGTTACAATACATACGCTTTCCATTTGCCTTTCATCAGGTTACGTTTTCTAACTTATAAATTGTGCTTACGACCGGTCCAAAATAGAAAAACTTCAGCACGCTATTTGTTTCGGACCGACCATTAATGTCGTAAGCACTGATAGAACTGTGAGCGTGAATCGGACCGCGGCCAAGGTAAGAACTCATGGGCGCGTCATTTGACGCGCGCGTCACGCGTCATTGGGGAAATACCTAGATTATAGTAACTTGTTGCACTGTTGCGTTTGACGCGTTTACAGTTGAATTTATCCAACTTCAAACGCGTCATCGCGTTTGGCACTCTTGGCAGCGTTTAATAGTAGCATCTAGCATTATTATAATGTTTGACTATGTTTGCTTAGAGATACCTCGATTACCGCAACTTGACGCGTTGCATTAAAAATAAAGTAACGTTAATAAATAAAGTGTCATCAATAAATACTAATGGCTTCAATCGTCAAATATCGAGAATATCTAATAGAGTGTGCAAATATTATAAATGTTCAATATGCGTACTATGTCCGACAAAAGCAAATGCTTGCAGTATTAGCCATTCTTTTAACGAAAAAGAGACAGAAAAAGAAGAGCCAAAAGGAACGTTTATGGATTAGTCTTCTAATCCAAAAACGAAAAAGACATGGTTTTTATCATGCGTTACTCCCAACTCTGAGACTGGAAGATTTGTGATTTCAAAACTATTTTCGCATGTCAGCTATGCAACTTGAGACTTTATTAGAAATTGTAGGGCCGCATTTGCAGAGGCTGTATGTTGTACGCGAGCCTATAAGTTCAGCGGAACGTCTAATTTTAACTTTGAGGTAATATGTTTATAAATCTTGTATATGTAATTATGAAAAATATATAATTAGCTAACGTTTTGAAGATAATGTGAAACAATGATATTTTGTGTTTACATTTTAGATATTTTGCATCAGGAGATTCAATGACCTCTATGAGTTTTCAATATTTAGTAGGTTTAACTACTGTAAGTGAAATCATCAGTTCAACATGTAAAATTATCTGGGATCAACTGTGTCCGCTAGTTCTTCCGTCTACTATCGGGTGGCACCCAGTTGGACACGGCTCAATTGGACACGAGCCATTCACAGCGCTTGAGACTACAAAGCTCCTAAGCACCGGTCGCTGTGATTGGTGGTGTCCAATCGAGCCGTGATCAATCGGGATCACCCCCTACTATTGATGAACAGAAATGGAAAAGCATCGCTCAGGATTTTAATGATCTGTGGGATTTTCCACACTGTATTGGGGCAATTGATGGGAAACACGTTACAATTCAGGTATATCATATATTCATCTTCATTGCACTGCTGTAATGATCTATTCGAGTGTAGCCTTATTTTAATTAAACATTGTCTTTTATTTTAGTGTCCAAACAATGCAGGATCAAATTTTTATAATTATAAGAACAGTCACAGCATTGTTTTACTAGCCATTTGTGATGCGCATTACAATTTTCTGTTCGTGGATATTGGTGCGTATGGTCGGCGCAGTAATGGAGGCGTATTTAAAGAGAGCATATTTGGACAAAAATTTGAAGCAAACACAATGAAAGTTCCTAAAGAAGAATGTATTTATGCTGGAGGACCATTGCTGCCATATTGCCTTGTTAGAGATGAGGCGTTTCCACTTAAGCCATATTTGCTTCGGCCATATCCACGAGGAGACAAAAAGACATTGAATGCAGATCGACATGTTTATAATTATCGATTAAGTCGTGCCAGATGGATCATTGAAAACGTCTTCAGAATTCTAGCAAGTCAATGGAGGATCTACAGAAAGCCAATTATTGCTAGCGTAAACACACCATGAGCATGTTTAAAAGTACAATTTGCTTGCATAACTGGCTTCATAAGGACTCCAAGAACGGCTTTTATTAACATCCGACCTATTGGATAAAGAAACAACAGATGGTGTGCACATTCTAAGTTCATGGAAAACAATAATAGAAAATGGATGTGCTTTTACAGATGTGTTCAATTGTGGCACACATAATAGTACTCGACAAGCCATCAGAATTGGAGAACTTTTCTGCCAATATTTCAACAATGAAGGTGCCGTACCATGGCAGTGGGACCAATAATTAAGTTATAAGTTATTATTAAGTAAACACATTAATCTTTACACTAACATTATTGTTGATAACTTCGTATTAATATTACTAATAACTTCGTACTAATTATTACTAATAACTTTTTGTTATAAAAACGATCATTTTATATGTTAAAAAACATTCTTCCAATATTCAAGAAAACATTTGTAAAATCTCTATAAAAACTTTTTATATTTTATTTCTTTATATTATAAAATGTTTTATTATAAAATACATAAAAAAATAACATAATACATTTTCTTCATATCCTACTTATTGCTCAGCCTTATTTAGTTCTTTATATAACATTTTATGTATTTTTAACATTAGTTGTCTCCTGCGAAATCTTGGAAATTGACGAAGTTGCGAGGAAATCATCATCCCGAAATGCTCTTCTTCGTTCGTTACTGGAATTGATGGCAAAGAAATTGTCGACGGCGGCTGGTGTAATGCCTCGCTTATTTGTGCCAGGATAGTACTATCCTGTTTGAGTTTCTGTTGATTCTTTGCTTTTTACTGTTCTCTGAAAATAATAGGTAAACATATTGATATACGTGTACAAATTAAAATGATGGGCATAAAATGCAACATACTAGGGGTATCATCTTGTGCAGATTCTTCCTCTTTTTCCTCTTCGTCTTCGACATTCACATTGTTGTTACAAACTGGTGTATTCGATACAGTTCTGAAATAACAGTAATAATTATTAATATATTGCTTCATAATTAAAAGTAGTTCAAATACTTTCGCAATGCTTTTAACATATTTTTTGAAAATTAAAAAAATTGTTTTTTTGTACTCACTCTCTTCTTAATAATGTGTCACGCAAAAAGTTTAATGATTCGTAGAAACGCCATTTATTCTTCTTCGACTGACTTGTCGCCCTACTTGGCAGCTTCTCCGCTGAAACAATCCGCATAAAACGGTCACGGAGATTTTTCCATTTTCTTTTACACTCTTCACTAGAGTATACTCCTAAAATAAAATCATGTTTTTTAAATTTTTATAATTCTAATAATTATAAATGTTATATATTTATAATAATCTTGTATACTCGAGCTACGTCCATGTACTACATAGGAAAACTGACAGCTTTGATTATATATAAATAGTATAAATGATGGAAGTTTAGAAGAAATGGCCTAGAAGAAATAACCTGCGACATCAAGAGAATTATATAGAAATGTTCTTGTTATCACATGAGCCACTCATCTAGGCAATTTCTTCCAAATTTTCATTATTCATGTAGCTCGTTTGAAAACTGAACGTCTTGGTCGTGTATACCTTTTGTTGCTTCACTGACTTCTTGCCACAGCTTATCCATCGTTCTTCTGTCTCGCCGTGCGACTGCAACATTCTGATTCCACAATGGCTCTCTTAAGTATACTTCTGCAATCAGAATCTCGTCTGTATTATTTTCTAGTGTCATATTTTGTAGACTTTTCGATGGAAACTGTGGGTTTTCAACGATATTAATATTTTCCCCATTCACATCGCTTCAATGTACAATGTCTCCATTATCTATATAATATGATACATATATTTAATAACATTATGCAATATTTATTCACAAAACAGTAATTAAATTTACTTACTGCATTGAGGATAAAAATAGAGATTTTCGTCAAATATTGCTTTTGCATATCCTATTAGACAAGAATAGCTCTCTACTGTTTCCAAGCTGTCCACAATTTCTTCACATAAACCGCATGTGAACACTCTCTACAAAAAATTTCGAGTGATAACAATAATATTTCTAAAATATGCAGTGAAAATATTCAAGATTTTGAAAATACAAATAACCTCTACTTTAGTCATGCATACTACATGTGCATAATTTATTTCGCAATATGTATATCAATCTTTTTTTACTTTATTTTATTTTATATTTCCTTTTTATTGACCTGAATCTCGTCTAAGCTGTCAGTCTCCATTTCAGCACCAAAACTGCATCAATTGCATCAAAGTCCCAAACTTCTTCTATATTTGAATGGGGTGGCACCCAGTTGGACACGGCTCAATTGGACACGAGCCACTCACAGCGCTTGAGACTATAAAGCTCCTAAGCACCGGTCGCTGTAATTGGTGGTGTCCAATCGAGACGTGGTCAATCAGGATCACCCCTTTGAATTGCCCAGATTCCAATGTAAAGTCCCAAATGTCCATGACTCGTGACGCGAGTGTCAAATAACGCGCCCATGAGTACTTACCGGATCATAACTGTAAACGCGTCAAACGCAACAGTGCTACAAGCAGGGTTGGGCACG